AATGTCAGAAGATTATGACCAACCCGACCAAACCTACCATCAACCACCATATCACCAAACAACCCAACATCCACAGTACCAAACACCCCAAGATCCATTTCCTTTCTACCCCCCATACACAGACGACCAATGCTACCGACCAACCATGGAACCCCATCCACCGCCAACACGACCAAACTTCGAGGGTATGGGTAACCGACTGTACCAGAGCGGATCTTCGAGATATGGAGATCTTACTGATTTTATGGATTCGGATCGCATTGACTTCGCTGGGCCATCGACCTTGCCGCAACAGGAAACGAGACGGCACCCAGCAAGAGAAAGGCGAGGACGGGGATGCGGAACTGGGGGTCATTACCGGGTTCCTGGGGATCATTGATGTATCTTTTTTTTTTCCAGTATTTTTTGTATCTATTTTTTTACTGTTATTTAAATGTAAAACAGTTGAATGTAATTATTTTTTTTCAAATAAAAAATCAATTTTGTTTATCTCTGTCTAATACGCAACGCGCAGGAAAGGAAATTTTTTTTTTTTTTTTGACCTAATTTTGCACATAGGCGCCATCTCATTTGGCTTAGGGCTTGCCATTTTCCCTTAGGCGCCAAATGAGATGACGCCTCCCTTATAAAAAGAGGAGGAGGCGCCAAATGAGATGGCTCCTCCTTTGTGGAGCCATCTCAAACATGGTTATTTGCGTAATTTTTTCCGAAACCCGGTTATTCGCGAAATATTTTTTTAATACTTGGTTATTAATAAAAAAAATTCGCAAACTTTAAACATGTTTATCTGACTTTGTACAGAATTCTTGTGCAGAAAGAACAAGTGCAATCCTCAAGACAAGTTGACTTTGTGATTAAAGCCACTTTAATAGAATGGCAATGTTACTTTATGCCATTAATGGAAATGCAACTTGGATAAGGGCTCAAATGCTTCGACAATGGCTCTATCATTTATGTAATCAATTAATTATGGATTGAAGCACAAGTTAGAAGCCTGAAAGTGAAGTTATGCAGCATAGGCTAGAGTTTTGCTCAAGTGTTCATCACAAAAATGCCTTGTAATTCAAGAATGGATGCCTAACTTCCTCTCTTTGATTTTCTTAGCTAAAAAATGATCTCTTCAAGTTCTTGGACGTTTTGAAAAGCTTGAAACATCCTCTACAACTTTCATGTTTTCTATTTTTTCTAAATAAAATTTGAGCTATGTGAAAAGTGGCCAAGAAGTTGGGACAAAAAATCTGCCTAAATTAGGTCAAAATTTCACTCAGTGTTTAAGAAAAAGTGCATGACTTCATGGGCCTATAACTTAAAATCTAAGCATTTTTTGGATATGAGCCATATAATACAAATTTGTAGATTTCATCAATATATACAACTTTCATGTTGAGAGTTTTCATTGAATCATCTCGGATCTTGGTGAAAAATTGGCATGAAGTAGTGAAATTATCATGTACAAAAACACTTAGAAAAATTTCTAAGTCTTGAAAAGTTTGACTTTTCAAATTGATTTTTGACTTTATTAATTTATTGATGATAAAGCTTCATATTTTTGAATGTCTTGATGAATCTTAACTTTTGAAACTCAATTTTGATCAAAAAGTCAAAGTTTGAATTTTGGTGTATCAGTTGACTTTTCATCAGTTGACCAAATTTCATCGATCAATTGTTTGATCTTGAGAGGTGAATTGAGTCATGCAATTAGGTCAAAATGATGTACTTGAATCCTTAAAATCATATTTCAAACCAATAAGTCAGGTATTAGCTCAAAAGTCAAAAATCAGTCATTCTAGTCAAAAACCCTAATTTTAACCATTTTGCCCTTTTAATGATTTACACACTTTTCTTGAGGAATTATGATCCAAACTTGATCAATTGATGAATATGAATTCAAATTTTTGATATTGGTCAAAAAGTTTGAAGTTTGACTATAAGTTGACCATAATTGACTTTTTAACCAATATAACTATTTTTTAGTCATCTGATCGATTGACTGAGCAAAATTGTGATTCAAGACTTGAAACTTGACATGAGTATTCTTGGAGCTCTATAATGATCCATTAAAGTCAATTGAGACATTATAATTCCATTTTTCCTTGTGAAAATCAAAACCCTAATTTGGGGCATCAGTGTTTAGGAGGTGGTTTGACCTAGTCAACACTTGTGCAAACTTGAGCTATTTAAAGATCTTGTGAGAAATGTCTTGAGAAAAGAGAGGGAAAATTTTGGGGTACAACACATATCATAATCCAACTAATCCATTTATGACTAAAGCCCATAGTTGAAAGAACATCCCTCAAGTAATCCTACTCGATCCTGTCATAAGCTTTACTGATGTCGAGCTTAAGAGCTACATCTATAATATTACATCTGGTTTTGGTCTTCATATAATGAACAAACTCAATAGCAACCATAAAATTATCTAAGATATATCTACCTGATACAAAAGCCGAGTGATTATCTAAGATGCATTTACCGATAATCTTCTTCAAACGATTAGCAAGAACTTTAGCTATCACCTTGTATAACATATTACATAGAGCAATCAATCTCCAATCCTTCATAGAAGTTTGAGAGTCACCTTTAGGAATAAGGGTTATGTTCGTCTTATTAAGGCTTTGCGGGAAAATACCATTATCTAGCCAAGAGCAATTGGCCGTGAATAGTTCAGCCCCACAAGTATTCCAAAAGTGGTGATAAAAATCGGGATTGTAACCGTCAGGTCCTGGGCTTTTTTTCCGCTCCCTTGGAGAACATAACTTCTTTGAATTCTTCCAAGATGAAGAGGGTTGTCAAATATCATTATCCTCACTAGAAATGGAATTATTAATGACTTGTAGAACTCGATCTCGAGAGCTAGGCTTTTTCTGGAATAACTGTGAAATAATCATGAGCAACTTTGCACAATCCTTTAGTAGTTTAGTTACTCCTCCTGTTTCTTCAGTAAGAGAAGTTATGGTATTTAACTTCTTTCTGATGGTGGCCGAAACATGGAATAATCGCGTGTTAATGTCCCCGTCTTTGTGCCAATGTGCTTTCGCTTGTTGCTTCTAAAATATATCTTCTTTGACTAATATAGAATTCAATCACTTTTTAAGAGCTATGAATAAATTAATATTATTCTCCCCGGTCTAATTTCGCATTTTGTCAATTCTCTTGCTAATCTGATCAATTTCCTTACGTAACTTATGACAGTTTTCGTTGCTCAATTTCAACATCTTATCACCGCAATCATTCAACTTCTTCATGATATATCCGCTATCGTTGTTAACCCATTAATTATACACAAATTCTTTGAACCCCGGTTCAACTATCCAGGCATTTTCGTATCTAAACCGCTTACTGTGCACAACCATAGTCTGCTTATTCTCACATGATAAAAGAATTGGATACTGGTCGGAAATTGATGCCGATATGCTTTTCACGATCTCCCATGGTAATTGAGAACACCACTCAACATTGGACACGGCTCTGTCAAGTTTTTCATCAACCGCTCTATCCGTGCCTAAACTTTTAAACCATGTAAATGGGTAGCCTTCCATTTTAACATCAATCAACCCGAAATCATGAATAGCTTGCCAAAAACCGTTGATGAGCCAATTTGGTCTTTCCACATTTCCTCGTTTTTCAGCGGAAGACAAAATGTCATTATAATCCTCAATCATGCACCAAGGTAAGTTTGAAGCAGTAGCAAGACTACGAATAAGGTTCCAAGAATTTCTACGACGCGAGATGTCAGGATAACCATAAAAACTAGTAAGTCCCTAATTACCGACATGGGAATCTTGCATAAGACTATCTATGTGGTTGTTTGAATAGTTTTGGATTGAACACTTAACATCTTTTTGCCATAACACAATCATACCGCCACTCATACCAATACATTTAACCGTAAAACAATAATCAAAGCCCAACAAACACCGCAAACTTTCAACTTTATTAGCAAAGCTTATTGTTTCGAATAGGAAAATAACATTCGATTTATAACTTCGAATGAGGTATTTATGATTAGGAACTACACTCGGGTTACCCAGTCTCTGACATTTCTAACTAATTATATTCATTTCTCTTGGCAGACCTGCTTAGCAGTGTCCGCTATTACATTATTGACAACAGAAATATTACAAAAGTTCTATATGAATGTGTCGATTTAGAGTAACAATCACTTTATTCTTAGTTTCCAAGATCATATCAGTGTCTTCAATAATGTTATAAAGGTTACTGTCCTTCTCCGATGGTTTCGTCTCCTCCGTATGAATAAAAATATATTTAAAAAATACTTTTTATCTTATTGGTATCCATTTAAAGATACCTTTAATAAAAAATATTTTTAAATCAAATTATTAATTAAAGTTTAAAATTGAATAGATTGAAAATAAATAAAATAGTAGTTAAAAAAGTTGTTGTGATAAATAGTTGAAATATATATCCTACACTTATTAGTATTATGTATCAAAACTAAAAGTTTTAATAAATAATAAATTAAATAATTAAAAATTTATACTAATAAGTAAAATATTTTTAAGTTTTTGATATGTGCAAAATAATATTCAAATACAATATATCATATAAATTTATTAGATACTTTATAATTAATAAAAAATATATTAATTATTATAAAATATTTATCAATTTATAATCTAAATCATTTAAGATAAAAAATATTAAAAATATAATAGTTTTAATTAACTTTTTAAAAGTCTTTATGCACATCGTCCTGATCAATATCTAATAGAAACCAAATTTGATTGAAAATTGTTTGCGAAGAACTTGAATAAAAAAAAAAAAGGTTAATTAGCTTCCATTTCTTTCATTTTGTTTTTGCATAATTGTACTATTAACAAATAAAACGACGAAGCAGTGAGGTCGTTTAATTAAGTTCCATTGACTAGACATTCTAACAAGAAGTCCCCTCCATACCCGTCCTCTTGCTGCTTTAGTACGGCATCTCCGGCCGAAGCCAAACTGAAACTGAAAGAGCCACCGATCGATCGCATCACAGCATGGACAGCAAAAACGTCGTCGTTTGCGACAACGGAACCGGAGTACTTCTCTCTCACTCACCAATCTCTTCTTTTCATATCAAAATGAAACCGCATTGCATCGGATCCAACAGATCTTTGAAAATAATCACCAAATCTCAAATCATCATAAATCGTGTTTTCCAATTCTACATTTAACAGTTTATGTTTTTTTTTTCTTCTACTTCTGATGTGATTTTTTTTGTGGCTTTCTATTTGAATTCAGTATGTGAAGTGTGGTTTTGCTGGTGAGAATTTTCCTACCTCCGTTTTTCCTTGTGTTGTGGGGAGGCCAATGCTTCGGTACGAAGAATCCCTTACCGAGCAAGAGTTGAAGGTATGGGAAACCTGATTTTTATGGTTTTTGAATTATGATATGTACTTTGTTTGATCTACTAGATGGCATTATGGTATATGATTTTTTGTATTATGATTTTATACAAAGTTCATGGGGTCTAGTTGTTGAGAGTCGCACATTGGTTAGAGATTGACAATCTAGTGCTCATTCTAGAGTTAGATTTTGGCTAGATAAACAACTTAATTAAGCGCTTACAATACAAGTTCCTTCGGATACCTGGACACGATATACTCGGACACTGATAATGTCAGAAGCATAGGACACTGACACCCGCTACATATATGATATGGTATTTGAGCATTTTTTTATCCATTTATTATTAAAAAAGTTAAAAATATTCCAATCAAAATTAATGTCTTTAATTCTTTATCCATAACATTGGATCAATATGTGTTTAAGCCTTTTAGATGTGTGTGAGATTTGTATAAAAATGTATTAAAGTGTGTTAAAGCAAAGAAAAAAACAAATTTTGTTTGAAACACCTGTCTAAATTGTTTGACACGTGTGGTATAAGTGTCATACGAGTGTTAGACACTGATTCAAAGAGTGTCAAAAGAAAGGAAAAAACCAATTTTTCGGGACATTTGTCTGACTTTTCCAACACTTGTTTGATTTTTCTGACACGTGTCATATGGATATCATACAAGTGTTTGACACCGATGTGTATCGGACACTGCAACACCCTCAATCCTAGAGGTAATCCTAGAGGTGTTTGTACTCCATAGCTTATGGGTATGTGTTTACGTGTTTATGTATAAACTATTTTTGTAACAGAGGATAAAATAGACCAATCCAAACCGTCTCACAAGGGTTTATGCTAGGTGATAAGCTTAAATAAGCCAATCCAAACAGGATCTTGTTATTGAGCCAAGATTACTGTTATCCCTAATCCCAAATTCTAAGATGATATTAGAGCCTATTTCAGATATGTTGTTGGGTCAATGTTGTTTGACTTGCATTTGTTCATGTTTTCAAATGTTAAGTTGTGGGCGTTAGAGACTGTATGTATCCCTGTTATTCCACCCACATTTATCCACACTTTAGAACTTTTAGATGGCCATTTCTGAATGTAAGTGGGTGTGTTGAGGTTCCCACATCGATTAGAGACATGGCTTAGGCATTGTTTACAATATTTGGATAGCTTTCATCATATAGCTCGGTTTTGTGGGTTGAGTTAGCCCTTAAGTCTAGTCATCATAAACAATAATATATGCACTTTAATTTCCTGATTTTAAGATGTTGCTTAGGTCTTGTGAGATTTATTATTTACTTCTTTATTTACTTCTTAAGTTATGCTCTGTTTAGGATATTGTTGTTGGCGAGGGATGTGCAGACCTGCGGCATCAACTTGATATATCTTATCCTGTGACCAATGGAATTGTCCAAAACTGGGATGACATGTGTCATGTGTGGGATCATGCATTTTACAATGAATTAAAAGTAACCTTCTGGTGCTTCTTTCTCACTGTTCTTTCAACTTTCAACTGTGATTGTTTGATATCGTAGCTAACTCTGGGCCACAATTTTACTGACAGATTAATCCTCAAGACTGTAAGATTCTACTTACCGACCCGCCTCTTAATCCCTCAAAAAATCGTGAAAAAATGGTTTGTGCAATTATGTTCTCCCTTTTGTTAATTTCTTGCATATTAATTGTTTTAAATGTTATTGTTTATGTGATTTGACCTGCCAGGTCGAGACAATGTTTGAGAAGTACAATTTTGCTGGAGTGTTTATCCAAATCCAAGCTGTTCTAACATTATATGCTCAAGGTGCTTATAGAGATGATTGAAGGTTGATGTTTTGTTTTGTTTTCTTATCTCATCCTAATTAGAGTTTACACCCCATAATTGCTGTTACTCATTCTTGGAAACTACTAATAGTCTGTTTGGTTACACGTTTACTAGCCCATTACACGAGTTTGCAGCAATACCAAAGCATAATTGACGTAACTTTTAGAAGCTACAGAAGAGAGCTTCGGAGTTGATGTGAAAATTTGACGTGATTTTATAAACGCTGCTGCAGATCCAAACAGTTACTAACTCTAATCATAACATATACCTATTTATAAACCTTGGATATTCTATAATGTATGATAGCTTTATTTCACACATCAAATGTGGCGACATCATATATCCTAATTTGCAAGGCTTTGAAATAAGGCTAATTTGTCCCTTCAACAATCAAGTAACAAATAGCAGGAATCAAAGTCTACACGCACGCTGATTCCCCCAAATTATATCTTTTGACATAAGCTATTTAATGTAGACTACCTTTTATCAATATGCAATCTTTGTGCCTTCATAACACTTCTTTGCTTGTCTCAGGTTTGCTGACTGGATTAGTTATAGACTCGGGTGATGGTGTCACTCATGTGGTAATTAATTAACATCTATGCTACTTAATTAGTTAATTATAATGCTGATCACTATGAGGGTGCTGCTACTAGATTCTATCTGTTATTGTTATATAACTATGTTGTCAAGGCTTACAAACTTATTTCCTTTAGGTCACTCATAAGTAACAAATAGTGGATTTGATGAATCGAGTTAAGTATGTAAATCAAACATTTGATAGTTTCATAAATATTCTAAATAATATTGTATCTTAATTTTAAGAAATATTGACACAAAAATACTACATTGGCTGACAAACTCTATTACAAAGTTGGTTATGGATGGATTATAACCTGCTGGGTGCGCATCTGATGCATAGAAAGTATTCATACCACAATCACAACGGGAAAGCACCAGGTATAGGCCTAGAAAAACAAGAGAATGTAGTTTTTCTTTTTGACGGTAAAATAGACTTCATGCTATAACAAGGATAGTACAATCAAATAGAACACGAGTTGATGCATTCCCCATCCACATTATGAGATCAACACAAGTGGCTAAGCATGCCGATGACATGGCAATAATACACAGAGAGATCAGAGGCCAATAGGGAATTGACAATCCAAAATCTTAATCCTAACGACCAAACTAATTTCTTCCACGCATGACCAATTGTCAAGGACAGTAAAATATCTAGTCTTTAATTTCATCAAATTACGGATCATTTCTCTTGTTTGTGGGGGCTCAAATCAACTACAGTAGTCTCTAAAATGACTAATCCGGCCACATGTCCAAAAGTCATTTGTATGGTTAATAGGGTGCTGAAGTTGGTGGTAGCCACGATAAGCCCCTTACTCAAAATACAGTACAAATAGACCCAGTATTTTTCAGGCTTTTCATCAAACACATGGAGCACAAACTTGAAACAAACTTAAAATAACAACAAAACACAAACAATGATCCATAACAAATAAACATAAAAATACCCTAAAAACGTTGGATCTAAAACTGGACAACAGTGAAATGACTTGCCATGGTGGCTTTGAAGGGGGAACTTGGGGGTCGTGTCTGCAAGTGAGGGAGTAATCATGAGGGCGAGATTCCGAGGCCATGTATGAGGTGGGGGACGGTTAATCAGAGAGGGAATTGTGACAATTGGTTGTTGAGGGGCAATCGGTGATTTGGCAGCTCCATGAGTAGCACAATAGGGAGATGATGAGGAAGAAAAGGGAGGAAGGGAGAAGAGTATCCCCAAAAAATGAAGATAAGGGCCTCCACCGGCGAGGAAGCTTGCCCAGACGGTGCTGGGAGAAAACCTAACAAGAGGGAGATGGTCACATTATCGCACAAGAGAGATAACCATTTTTCACATCTTATCTAATTTAACTTTAGATTATGTGCCTTGAGATTGTAGTTTGTTTACTCTCAGACATAACTTTTCTTGGATATTTACTTTACTCACACAACTCTATGTTATTGCAGTTAGTTCTTTCAGTTCAGTACATGGACATTGTCATTAGACTGTTTAGCATTATTCATAACTTCATATTCATGGATTGCTTATTTATTTGTTACTAATTTACAATATATAAAATTTCTTTGTACATGAATGTATATGCCTGTGTCACTATGTTATAACACATTCTTAATGGTTCAACACAGTTTGGAGATATGCAAATCTAATATTTGTATAGAGAATTATTTAAGTCAATTTTTGAAAAGAAAATTATTACTCCCCAGCATGGCTTTTGCTTGAAGCAAAATGAAATGGTGAAATGTTGTGATTCACCATTTCTATTTCTTGGAGCATAATTTATGAATATGATATACTGACTTACCAATTATAATCTTGGCACACAAGCATTATGTAGATCCATGGTTTAATGAAAAAAAAGGTGGTTAAAATGTTTAGTTTTATGAGAAATAAATATTTGAAAGTATTCATTAAAAAAATGTTAGTAATGAAAGCTTTGAATCTTGATCTAGGTCCCAGTTGTTGATGGCTATTCATTCCCTCATTTGACAAAACGAATGAATGTAGCTGGCCGGCATATAACTGCCTATCTCGTTGATTTGCTTTCACGGAGGGGGTGAGAGCTATTTCTTTTCATGTCAGTTGTAACGTAGTATCAATATTATGAAAAACTGACCCCTTTTATGCTTTAATTCTAACTGGAACACAATTTTCTTTCCTCAAGATATGCAGTGAATAGGACTGCTGATTTTGAGACTGTTAGGGAAATCAAAGAGAAGCTATGCTATATAGGGTTAGAAACAAATCTCAAATCAAACATTAGTTTTATGTGGTCTCTATAATGTTTTCTCCATAGCTCATATATTTTACTCTGCAGCTATGATTACAAGAGGGAATATCAGTTGGGGCTTGAAACCACTATCCTTGTTAAGAACTATACTGTAAGTTGGCATCCTGAATTTCCTGAAATCTGTATGACTAGTTCTGTGTAAATGATTTAGTTAGCAATTCTGGTTGAAATGACTTGCATGAATATAAAGGAACGGGTGGCTCAAGTTCTGCTGATCTATTATTATGTTCTTTAATGAGTTTCTTTTCATATTCTTTTCTTTAACCAATTATTAGTAGTTGTGTCTTAATGCATGTGCATAATGTGTACAATGCTTATTATTATTGTTATTGTTACCGCTGTTTTGTTATGGTGAATTATGTTGTCGCCTAACTTGAGGTAATTGTCAATTTTAGTCTCTAAACTTTTCTAAGTAGTTTTTTCATCCTCCAATTTCTGAAATATTTTACAATCGGTCCTCGTTGATATATTTTTATCCCTACAATACAATATATGGTCTATTTTTGAGATTCAGTCCTTTAATGTTTGATTATGTTCAATTAGTCATTGTAAAATGAATATTACATGGACTAGAATAACAACAACAACAACTACGCTTTATCCCACTAGATGGGATCGGCTACATGGATCAATTTTCGCCATAATGTTTTATCAAGGGCCATGCTTCTATCCAAATCATTAATTTCGAGATCTTTTTAATAACTTCCCCATAGTCTTTTTGGGTCTTCCTCTTCCTCGAATTGTTTGTCTTCTCTCCATCTGCTATACTCTCCTTACTATAGAGTCTACATGCCCAAACCACCTAAGTCTATTTTCTACCATCTTCTCTATAATAGACGTTACTCCAATACTTTCTATAATAATTTCATTTCTAATTTTATCCCATCAAGTCTTACCACACATCCACCGCAACATCCTCATCTCTGCTACACCTACTTTATTCTCGTATTGGTTCTTAACTGCCCAACATTCTGTCCCGTACAAAATAGCATATCTTACCACAGTTCGATAAAACTTTCCCTTTAGCTTGAGCGGTACCTTTGCATCACATAAAACATCTGATGCCTTTCTCCATTTCATTCATCCAACTTGAATACGATAACTTACATCCCCTTCTATTTCTCCATCATTCTGTATTACGGACCCAAGATATTTAAGCCGTGTGACTTAAGGATAATATGGTCTCCTACTTTCACCTCTAAGTTAGAAACCTTGCTTCTTTTGTTGAACTTACATTCCATATACTCCGACTTACTTCTACTTAGGCGAAAACCATGTGTTTCTAAAGCTCTTTTCCAAGTCTCCAAACTCTCATTTAACTCCTCCCTCGACTCTCTAAGGAGGACTATATCATCTGCAAAAAGCATGCATCTTGGCGCTATCTCTTGGATTTGTTCCGTGAGTACATCCAAAATTAAGGTAAAAAGGTAAGGGCTTAGGGTTGACCCTTGATGCAAACCAATTGTGATGGGAAAATCTTCTGTCTCTCCACCCTGTGTCCTAACACTAGTCGATACCCTTTCATACATATCTTGGATAGTTCGAATATATGCAACCCTAACCCCTTTCTTCTTTAGAGCTTTCGACAAAATCTCTCTAGGCAATCTATCATACGCCTTCTCCAAGTCAATAAATATCAAGTGTAAGTCTTGTTGGTCCATTCAATATTGCTCCATCACCCGCTGTAATAGATAAATCGCTTCCATGGTCGACCTTCCCGACATAAAACCAAATTGATTCTCAGTAACTTGAGTCTCTTTTCTTAATCTCTGTTCAATCACTCTTTCCCATAATTTCATGGTATGACTCATAAGCTTGACTCCCCTATAATTTGCACAATTTTTTATATCCCTTTTGTTCTTATAGATAGGAACTAAAGTGCTTCTCCTCCATTCATCCGGCATGCATTTTGACCTCATAATTTCATAAAGAGTTTGGTGAGCCACTCAATACCTCTATCTCCAAGAATTTTCCACACTTCAATAGGTATGTTGCCTGGCCCCACCGCCTTACCGTTACTCATTCTTTTCAATGTTTCCTTTACCTCCTGTTTCTGAATTCGACGATAGTAACTATAGTTCCGATCCTCTTCTCTTATGTCTAGTCTGCTAGAGTCATACCCATATCCATCATTAAATAAGTTGTGGAAATACGCCTTCCATCTATCCTTTATATCTTTTTCTTACACTAAGACTTTGCCTTCTTCATCCTTAACACACTTTACTGGATCCAAATTTCTAGTCTTTCTTTCTCTTCCCTTAGCAAGCCTATATATAGGTCTTTCTCCCTCCTTGGTTCCTAGAGATTGGTATAGTCCATCAAAAGCTTGAGTTCTTGCTTCACTCACCGCCTTTTTGGTTTCATTTTTAGCTATCTTGTACTTTTCTCAAGTTTCAGAATCTCTACACCTAGACCTCTCTTTAAAACAATCCTTTTTTACTTTAACTTTGCTATGAACACTTTCATTCCACTACCACGATTCTTTACCCCTATGTCCAAAACCTCTAGATTCACCCACCGTCTCTTTAGCCACTTTCCTTATCTCTTGGGCCATCTTGTTCCACATATCATTTGCACTTCCTTGTGATTGTCCAAACCAACCCTCCCATATCTTTTGTTGGAAAATTCTTTGTTTCTCACCCTTCAAATGCCACCATTTGATCCTTGGTGCTACCAAAGGACTTCTTCTCTTCGCCCTTTCTTTAATTCTTACATCCATAACCAAAACTCTATGTTGGGTAGTCAAGCTCTCTTCTCGGATAACTTTACGGTTCAAGCAATACTTCCTATCAGACTTCCTGATAAGAAAGAAATCTATTTGAGAACATGTCCCTCCACTTTTATATGTGATAAGATGTTCATCTCTTTTTCTAAACCATGTATTGGCTTTAGAAAGATCTAAAGCCGACGAAAACTCCAAGACGAATTTACCCTCCGCATTCGCCTCCCTTAGGCCAAGACCCCCCATGCACACTCTCAAAACCTCTTGCCACGTTACCTACATGTCTATTGAGATCCCCTCCTAGGAAAATCTTCTCTCCTTGAGATATATCCTGAAGTAACCCTTCTAAATCCTCCCAAAATTTTACCTTAAGGTGTTCTGCTAATCCAACCTGAGGTGCGTACCCAATGATAGCATTAAAGATGTCTTGTCCCACTACAAATTTCAAGGCTATGATTCGATCTCCTACTCTTCTTACATCTACAACATCCTTCTTCCACTCCTTATCCACAATAATCCCCACCCCATTTTTTGATCTAATTTTACCAGTATACCAAAGCTTAAATCCCGAGTTGTCAAATTCTTTCGTTTTTTCACCTGTCCACTTAGTTTCTTGTAGGCACATAAAATTGATCTTCCTCCTAACCATAACATCCACTATTTCCATAGATTTTCCAGTGAGTGTGTCTATATTCCATGAACCAAAGCGAATCCTCCTTTCATGAACTTGTTTCTTTACCCACACCCGTTCACGAAAATGTGGGAACCCTTGCTTATTTTTCACTACATCCGGGCGGCGATGCAACAACCCTTGCTCTTTTGACACTGTACTCGAGCCATACAGCGTTTTGCTTACGGACAACGACCTAGCATTCACATTATTACTTAGTTGATCCATGTCATAGAAATTCGACAAAATTTTACGGACTGTCGAAAGCCTAACACAACCCTCTTCTTTTATCCGGGTTTGGGACCGGCTAGAATGAGAAAAAAATCATATTATAGGGACTAAAAGAACTACTGGAACCAATTGTAGCACATTTCAAAATATTTAGGACAAAAACATGCTTTTTAAACTTTAGGGTTTAAAATTGCAGTTACCACAAGTTGTTGGAGGACTAAAAAATAATCAATGCTTAGTAATATACTGATTATGTTGATATCACTTATATTGATTTGCACTCTCTAAATCAGCTTCCAGATGGAAGAGTCATTAAAGTAGGCACGGAAAGGTTCCAGGCCCCTGAGGCTCTTTTCACTCCGGTAGGTTGCTTGTTGCTCATTTCACTCATGTTTTCTCTAAATGAGCTTTTCAAAACCTATCAAAATTATTATAGTGTAAAAGGATTTGTTAACATTAGTATTTTTATAATGTGCCAGTGCAATTCTAGCTAAATATATAGCGTGTATAATTTTTTGGCTTATGATTGCTTGGTGTTTTCTCCCTTCTTGCAGGAACTTATAGATGTTGAAGGTGATGGAATGGCTGACATGGTGTTTCGTTGCATTCAAGAAATGGATATTGACAACCGGATGATGGTATGATGCTCCATTTGAAACCTATATTCTTTAATATCTTTATCATAAGTTACTTTTTACGTATTGATTGTCTCCATTTAAGATTTAAAAGGATGTAATGTAATGGCATCTTCCATATCTCAAAATTTAACTATGGGAGTCTGAAATAGTTTTAGTTCTTAGCTTTCTGGAATGACATCTATGTCAGCTATTAGATGTGTCACTTCAGCACCTCCTAACTGGTTTCGTTTCCCCTTTTTAGTTGTCTTTAAAAAGTTGTCATCTTTTTATTTAGTCTTGTTTTCTAATTTCAACCAGCTATCATATTTGTTGGATCAACTGTGTTCTCTCTTTCTTTTGCACGTGTTTCTAACTAAATAGTTTTGAAGATTAATTTGTTTTTCTAATTAATTTGTAGTATTTGTGCTCATATGATTAATATTGAATCAATGTACTTGAAATTTCCCTGTCTATCCTGGCTAGCTTCCTAACCATGCATTTGCTCAATACTATGGGGATTTTTAACCCTCTCATATACTTTTTGGCTGTCATGTCAACACTATGGGGATTTTTGGTTGGAATGTAGATCACTCTATACTTTCTCGGTGTAAAAGTTTAAGGAGACAAAATAAATACTACTTAATTTCAATTTGGACCATATTTTGCTTGAAAACTTTTTTCATGCTGCCTTCAGTTTACCACTTTTTGCCTACTCAACCAACCAAGTAAATCCCGAAGCTTTGTGTCAGTAGTTTTATTTGTAAGGTCATACACATGCTTTTAGATATTTATAAGGAGTTCATGAATAAATTACATTTTCATCTGCCTGTCTTTCCAAATGAGAATCATTATAGTAGTCCTTAAATCAAAGAACTTATACTTATTACTAAACCACTTCAGCTCTAGAGAATTTTTTTTATAACTTTCACAGAATATTCCTTCGTTCTCTTCTACTGTATTTTGAATATGTCATGCAATTTATACTAAGTTATGTTCTGATCTTTTGTCTTGCAGCTTTATCAACACATAGTTTTAAGTGGAGGGAGCACCATGTATCCTGGATTACCAAGCCGGTAGTTTGTTATTTCTCCTTTACATCAGCACTAATTTTCTTTAACCTTGTGTTGCTGATTTTTTTTAATATCATCATTATACGTGTTCACTGGACATGTATTGCATAACTCTAATCTCAGTCCATTAGTTTCTTTTCAGCTAAATCCATGCTTATGATATTTTAATTGTATACAGTAACAAGTTAATTGGCATGCACTGTCTGTCAGTGTAAATTGGTTTTACACTCACAGCCAATAAGAACCCACTTCACTGCTTTTGCAATTTAGTATACAATTAATTGATTTCAAAATATACATTTACAAGAGTGAGATGACAGGGAAAAACAATGGAATCACATTAGTGTCAGTGTAAAACTGGTTTACACGGTTAGCACTCCTTTAAACTCATATAGTTAATGCGTCATATGTATGCTACACATATCTGTGATCACCCGTTGTTCAATATTCGAAATGTTTACGGTATCTCTGTATATTTTTCTTTGGTCAAAAGTGCTCCCTAGAACTCTATATAATAATATATTGTTTATTTGCAAGCTTGGTTACTTACCTAAGTATATCATGTTAACGGTGCCTCATTCTTTCTTTAATATTAAGCATTAAATAGTATATTTCTAGAGTCTAGATTTTTTTCAAATCTCAAATTTTGATGTAAATAAATAATTTTGAAGGTCCCTTTATTTCTGCTTTTATTTTTTCATCTGTTAGCACATGGTGTTTGTTACTCTTAAAACGGTTTGGGTTTTCTTATGTTGGCACATGCTTTTATTTTTTCGTCTCAATGCTCATGGTGTTTGGTACTCTTAAAACGGTTTGGGTTTTCTTTGTGTGTTTCCAATATGAAGTTGGTAATCCTGTTTTCTTTTTCTCTCTCTCATCTTCAGATTGGAAAAAGAAATACTTGATCGTTATCTTGATGTTGTTTTGAAGGGCAACAAAGATGGGTTGAAGGTAAACTTCAATTTTCTTTTCTTATGTGTATCCAATGTGTATTATTTACGATACTGTTTTTCTTCCTGTATTTTAACATTTATTGAAAACAACTCATCAAGTGCTTATCAACTATGCACTTACAGTTTAAGTGTTTATGTTTAAGCTATTTTTATAGTCAATGAGAGAATCAAGGAAAAGTTCACATAAACTTGTTCTCATTTTCCTTGTTATTGGTAACCAGAAATTGCGACTAAGAATCGAGGATCCACCACGTAGGAAACACATGGTGTACCTTGGAGGTGCCGTTCTTGCAGGAATAATGAAGGTTTGAGTTAAAAGTTATCTTTTGCTTGTTGCTATCTAAATCTATATACTTTAGTAGCTGTGGATGTTAACTTTTCCTAGTTTGAAAACAAGCATGATTCAAGAAAGTTTTTCTCTGGTGGTTAAAATGCAGGATGCCCCAGAGTTTTGGATTAACAGGGAAGATTATCTAGAAGAAGGAATTGCTTGCCTGAGTAGGTGTGGCCAAGCTTGACTTATAGAGTTCGAGTGATCACGCCAAAATAACACATTATTTGTGAGGCAAAATCACATCAGAAATTGAGTGATGAATACTCAAATCAAAGCTATAATATTTGAAACTGCCTTCAAGAGTTTGCATTAAATGCTGTGTTGTCCCTGTAAATGTACTGAAAGCTAGTTTTGAAAGAACAAGAAGTCTTGTTTCATGATAGATACGATAAAAGAATTCATGTAGTATCTTGCTTGCTACAATTAGTGTTGTAACTTTGTTGCCATAAACGGTGAATAAAATATAGTGTAAATACTTTCTTGAGTGTTTGTACTAACACAATACAATTGTACTAAACTGTATCGGCAATAGCCAAGTTAATGGATTTAATTCTCCCATCTTTGCAGTTCATTGAGTTTTGTTTGCAGATAAATTGGTCTAGGTGTTGAATGTCTATAACTTAAAAATGTGTAAAACTCGGGTTGAATTTCACTGTAGTAAAGAACCATGTATTCACGCATTCAAGCGTATCAGATCGTCTGATTTAGATCAGATGGTTTTGAATTACAACTTGTAATATTGGGAAAATCAAATGTGTTTTTCTGAACCGTGCAATCAAGATCAAATGATTTGATTTATAACATCTTGACAACGTGAATGTGAAAAATATCGGACTGCAGCGGATTCAATTTTGTGAAACTCTATACATATGTAAGATATGTTTGGATATATTATATAAAAAAGTGAATTGACAATAAAATTAAGATTAAAAATCATATTTGGAGGTAGAAGCTTCAATTTCTAACCTAAGGTTAAAACTGTTATAAGATAAAATTAATTTTAATAATAATACTAAACATGTTAAAATCAATTTTTATGGTTCTATAAACACAGTAATGATCAAACGTAAACACAACCAATTTTAATAACAAAATTTACAAAAAACGAAGACAAGAGACGTTGGCCTGAATGTAGTATGTAGAGACATGGCTTTTTACACTAACAATTCCACAATTTTCTAAATACTAATCAATAAAAAAAATTCACTAAATAATTTAAATTAATTGGTTACTCAATCATGCAACTTTTCCTAACACTGCCAAAAATGATGATGTGAGGAAAGAACAATTCTTATTTGTTATCATCATCTAAGAAGTAAGTAATATTGATTTAATTTTATTTTATGTTTCCTCAGTTTCAAAGAAGAACCGACCCATGAAGTAAAAGGTGTTAGGTTATCAAATGTTATGGTCACCAATCCCACCAAACAAATCCTACACATTGGTTTTTTGGACTAAGTCTTTTTGTCTTAAGTTCTTTACTAGTAACCTAACCTCACCCAAACACGATCCAAGTATTCACAAAGGAAAAGCAAAAAAAAAAAATCAATTTTTTTTATAATAAGATTCAATCAAACGAAAAAGCTAATAATAAAATTCACTTACACTTGAATGACAAACGGGCAAATTTGACCCATTTAAATCCGTCCTATAAAATCTAAAAAAAAAAAAGACGGAGTAGATATTATTAAAAATGCGAACTTAAGATTTTGATCTATTTTTCAAATAAGTGAAGACGGATGGATAATATGCTTTTAAATTCTAAATTAAGAAAAATTTATATTAATATCTCCACTTACAAAAGTCCGCAAAATAAAAATAAAAGGTGCGAGACAGACATATTAGATGATGCAAGCCTAAAATATTAATCTGTTTTACGAAAAAATATATAAAGATATCCGATTTTATCACCCTTACTTACACTATATCATTAATCAATTCAAGTTATAAAGATATCCGATTGTTAATCCAACTCGATTATTAATCATAAAAAGTTTTTATTACAAAAAAGATACATTCAAATTCGCAATACACAGTTTATTCATCTTTAAATATATTTCCGATTATTCATCTTTAAATATCTTTTTTAAATAGAAACTTTCACTTAAACTCAAAGAGATCTTTGTCATAGTATTTTAAAAAGTTGCAATTAAAGTATAGCTTTTTTAAAAACCCACGTTTGTAGCTTGTACCGTTGTCCAAAAACAACTAACTCTAACCTCTTCCCATTACATTTATTTTCTAACATATCTTTTATTTAAACCCCTAAGATACCACCATTCCATATATCATACATATATAACAAACTACTCTTAAAGAGACTCATCACATTTCCCATATCATATTTGTGTTAACCAATTCAGGTATCATAAAATAACAAAACACATGCATTCCATGTGACATTTCCAACATTTCCTTAACATTTTTTCTTGTTTTTTTTCAGGTAAATTAATCAAGAACATTTTGAGATGGAGAACTCAAACTATAAAAATGGTTTCCAACAAATTAATGTAAAGCTAACAAGTGAACCAACACTAGTTCCACCATCCGAAGAAACAACAAAAGGAACATACTTTCTATCAAACCTTGATCAAAACATTGCTGTCATTGTTCGAACCGTTTATTGTTTCAAAAACAAAGACAAGGGAAATGAGAATGCTTGCGAAGTGATTAAGAATGCACTGAAAGATGTTCTTGTTCATTATTACCCTCTTGCTGGGAGATTGAGTATAAGCTCAGAGGGGAAACTGATTGTGGATTGTACAGGAGAAGGTGCTCTTTTTGTTGAAGCTGAAGCTAATTGTGGTATGGAGGAAATTGGTGATATTACAAAACCTGATCCTAGGACTCTTGGGATGTTGGTTTATGATATTCCTGATGCTAAACATATTCTTCAGATGCCTCCTTTGGTTGCTCAGGTATGTTTTGTGACTAGTCTTTTTTTTTTTAATTTTTTTTATCTTGTTTAATTTATTCTTTAAACTAGTGAAACTAATTTTTTAGCGTGGTCCCTAAATTTTTGAATAAGTTCTAATTTAGATCTTAAAATTTAAGGATTTACATGTTTAAAGATTTAAACTTTTAGAGGTTGGACCATTGATGACAAGGACAATGCTGTCATTAAGGAATGAAAGGTGGGCTGACAGTTATTAATTTTTTCACATAGCCTCAAATTTTTTCAGGTTCGAAATAGCTTATAAAATATTTTTAAATTTAAACAAGACTCATTTATTTTGCAACGATTGAATAAAAAAACTTAAGACAACCCTGATTATTAGGGTTGTTGATGATACAATTTAGTTATAAAATCGAACTGAACTATAATAAAAAATCATTCAAACTGAACTAAATTGTTTTAATTTATTAAAAACTAAACCGAACCAAAATTATTAATTTGATATATCAATTCAGAATTCTAAACAGTTAGAAGACAATGTTTCTAAAATTAACTTAACAATTATATTTTTTCATAAACTTTTTAATAGAATATTTTAAACTTATTTTTAGTATTTTTCATTTTCAGTTTTGATTCGGTTTCAATTTTAGTTTAATTTATTTCTCATTTTATTCGGTTATATAATTGTTTATGTAACATGGTTTGTTCGGTTTTAGAATTATTTATGTAACATGGTTCGTTCGGTTTACTAATTAAACATAATGACTCAGGTATTTTAACTTCTTTTTATTTCGGTGAATAAATTTTTTTCTGTGAAATATGATAAAAAGGAAACTGTATCACACTTTGTATTGAAATTTTGAAGAGTTAATTCAATATTTCAGGTGACTAAATTCAAATGTGGAGGTTTTGCCCTTGGACTATGCATGAATCACTGTATGTTTGATGGAATTGGAGCTATGGAGTTTGTGAATTCATGGGGAGAATTAGCAAGAGGTTTACCAATCTCAATCCCTCCGGTTCTCGACAGAAGCATACTAAAGGCACGCACTCCGCCAAAGATTGAGCATTTGCACCAAGAATTTGCTGACATTGAAGACAAATCAAACACTAACACCTTATACGAAGACGAAATGGTGTATAGGTCATTCTGTTTCGATCCCGAAAAACTAACAGAATTGAAGAAAAAAGCCATGGAAGATGAAGAAGGTGTTCTTGAATCTTGCACAACATTTGAAGTGCTTTCAGCATTTGTTTGGATAGCTAGAACAAAAGCACTTAAGATGCTTGCAGAGCAAGACACTAAGCTTCTTTTTGCTGTTGATGGAAGGGCTAAATTTGAGCCAAAGCTTCCAAAAGGGTATTTTGGGAATGGAATTGTGCTAACAAAATCAGTTTGTAAAGCCGGTGAAATTACAAATAAGCCCTTTTCATATACTGTGAAACTTATCCAAGAAGCAATCAAGATGGTGAATGATGGATACATGAGATCAGCTATTGATTATTTTGAGGTAACAAGAGCTAGGCCTTCTTTGGCTTGCACACTCTTGATCACAACTTGGTCTAGGCTTTCTTTTCATATTACTGATTTCGGTTGGGGCGAACCGGTTCTGTCGGGACCGGTTGGCTTGCCGGAGAAGGAAGTTATTTTGTTCCTTTCACATGGTCATGAGAGGAGGAACATCAATGTGCTTCTTGGTTTGCCTGCTCCTGTCATGAAGATCTTTCAAGATTTGATGAAGATTTAGGATTTTGTTGTTATGTTATGTTATATATGATTTGATTATGTTATTATTTACTATATGGCTATGTTATTTCTTAAAGTGAGAGTATTTGTTATGTTTATGAATTTATCGGTGCTACTTAGTTAATAACAATGTCCTTGTATTAACAATTTATTCATATTAATATATAAATATAAATATATTTTTGATGGTTGATGTAGTTTGTTTATATATGAAATATATTTTATTGTTATTTTTTGGGCTTGATCTTAAACATATTTGAAAATTTATAATAAATAGAAAATAATTCAAGTCTATTTTTCATTAAAAATAACCATGTGCAACGTGAAAAAACATCAATAAATATGATAAAATATCTAAACTCAAGGATAGAGACAGTATACGAGGGATCCCATACATCAAAGTAAACTAAAGCAAAAGGAGATGAAGCTCGTTTATTGACTCGACTGGAAAATTGACTTCGAGAGTGTTTCTATAATTGATACAACTCACAATGTAAATTAGATATCTTCGATAAACTTGACACTAACTTCTGTAGTTTGA